AAGGGAAAAGTCAGTTTGATGTTCTCTTATTTCGTTTTTCTACCATTTGTTTTGTTTGTTAGTTGTTCCATTAATCACTATTTTTAACTCTTTTGTAGCATCAATTTTCTCCATTTCTAAATCTTGAAATGTATGCCTTGGAATTTGAAACTTGCAGCAAATGAATTATTCCTTTTTGTGAAATGTATGATTTCATTTGACTTTCATGTGAGCATTTGCAAATGGATTGCTTGATAAATGTCAATGTAATTAGTTTGTTTTCCTTTATCAACATTCCTACTATTATACCATATTGCATACATGGTAGCGGATCGTAACATTTGTGGTTCAAGTGGAAGGACTCCTTTAGGAGGAATTGTAGTTTCTGAAGGGGAAACATAAGTAATTAAATGTTTATTGAATTCAGGAGATGATCTAAATAGAAGTACTTAAATGCCTCTTGAATGTCAGTGCATTTTATCGAAAATAAGAAACTTTGCTTAATTGATACGATTTGCTTGTGTGTCTAAAGTTGCCCTGTTTGCTTTAGTTGTACATCTTTTGTAAGTTATTGGCTATGGTTGTTTATGTGTAGGTAAATGTAAAGAGAGTGGAAAAGGAGTGACATTCCTGACATATTGTATGTTATCCCATGATAGCCACTGTTGTTTGTATGCAGTCAAACGCTATTATTTAGTGTAGAAAAAAAGAAGAAAAAGAATTGCCTCTTCGCTTCAAGAGTGTGTATTTTAACTTAATCCTACTTTCATAAATCTTGAGCGGTTATCTTCACCAACAAGATCATATCTATTTTTGTATGAGTTTGTAGATGAGCTTGTCAAATTGTAAGTACCTTCTGTATTTTATTCCATTATTGGCTATTTAAAAGGCTTTATGTTAGTTACCGTTTTTATTTTATTTTATTATGTTTTTTCTAGTCAATGTCCATTAGGTGAAATTCAGTTCTAGTTCATATTAATTTTTATGTAATTCTCCTAACATAATTTTATGATAGTTTCCTTTTAGTCTAACCAGAGAAAGCATGACGCTTTGTTGAGACTGAGCTAGGAGCTCCATCAAAGATGTATTTAAGGGTTTGGGGAACTGACCAATTGCAGCATTAGTGTTGGCCAGGTGTTTGTTTCATCTTCGTTATTCTTTTTTGGTTTAACCTTAAAGATATAAGATAAAATAAGGGCTAACACCTTATGTTCTCTTTCTAAAACAATGGACAGAAGCACCCTTACTTAGTAGGTTGCTCACATCAATTTGAAGCTATGTCAGTTATGCTTCTAATCCAAATTGTGGACTGACCAGTCACAAACAATGGGAGCTTATAATTGTCATATAATTCACAATTTCAAGTGGAGATACTTGTCCTCATTAATATGAATTTTTAAGG